GATTCAAAAAATCCACAAACTTGAGCTTAAGGTCATGTTGAAAGGAATGAACAACACGATTTCATTTTCTTTCATAAATGAATTAAACAGAATATTTGTTTATAAATGGTTTTTTGTTCGAAATAAATCATGAAATTTCAAAATACTTTACGGAATTCAACTCAATGACTACACTTCATCTGAAAAAAATTCAATCATTACACTGGAGGAAACACAAACAAGTGTAGCAAAAGACATTTTAAGAAACATTTTCTTCTAAACTCTCAAGTTTATTTACAATTTGAAATTGTATAAATGTTGATAGGATTAAAAATAAAACATATTTCATATGGGACTCATTTCAAAATAAATTCCACATTTGGAATAATTCAAATAATAAAATATGGATTTGCAATTGAATTCTTTTTTCTCTGGTAGAATTCGTTTGTTCCAAGAACAGTGTAATAGCATTCACAATCCAAATATAACGTCATTTTACATGTGTTCACAATTGAGACTATTGACAGCTATAAACACTAACAAATTATCTAATGATTCACCTTTACCACCGGAGGCCCCAATTGCAATTCGCTCACCAGGCTTGAACAGTTGGTTTTCCACAATCACCTGGTGGATCTCTTCCTCAAAGACCTCATAAAAACACTCCCTGCATATCTTTTGGAAAGAAAATTTTTGGCATACTCTAAAAATATTAATGCAATCAAGGATCACCAACACAACCCTCTTACAGGATACAGACAATTCACATGAGTAATTGATTTGAGTGGAATACATTTAAATAACTTCAACAAAATTCAACCACGGTTTCACTTACGTTTTTTCAATGGTCCAATATAGTAAAAAACCAAGAATCAACAAGCATAAATACTAAAAGTGCTGCAATTTCCTCTTTTTACTAAGTAATCATATACAACACAGAAATCAATTATGGTATAGTTATTTTTTTTAATAATTATGGGACAGTTATATATTGGTCACCCATTTGCCATTACATAACCAAGGAGCAACCAGAACTTCTATTACAAACTATTCTTTAAACCTATCAACTGCGGAAATTATTTTCTCTTTTTGCTAGTTGCTTTCCATCTTTTTCATGGCAGGCAAACCAAATATTAATGAAAAAAAATAAAGCAAAGATTTCAACTATCAAAAAGGATAAAAACAAGGAAGTGAGAAGTCACCTGTTCAAGGGTTTTAGGTCTTTTGAGGGCAGCCCTTTTCTGATTACAGATGCAACAGAGGCGAGTCCCAGGTTTCTTTGTCTTCACCTGCGCCTCCTCCATGTAAAGCTGTGGCGTATTATCCGGGGGGAGCAAGTGCGCAATTCAGTTTAAAACAACTGAACAAACCAACAAAAACTGATGAGGCCAAAATTGTAATGGCCAATGAGAACTAACAGAAGATGTTACAAAACCAACCAACTGAGCCAACCAAACACTTGACTGTTCAGTTCTAAACTGAAAAACTGAATCCATGTGATACACACCTAATTGATACAAGGCTTTATCCAGTTCTAAACCAAGGAATATCTCAACATGCTGGCATCATTAAGCAATTCCCAAGGAGTCAAAATAGAACTTCATAACAAGTAATGACGTCATCGGACTTATTCCCCAGTAAAACATCTAAATTTTTTTGTGCAATGGTCTACGTAAGTCTAAACCAACAAACACCACCTCCCCCCCTCCCTCTTCCAACCACCCAAAAGAAATAAAAAAAAAGCAAAACCATCGAGCAATATTATGCATCGAAGCCTGCTCAAGAAAGCCTATTACTCAAGGAAGAGGTACCAAGTCATTAAACAGAGAAAAGCTTTCCCATAGTACAGCTACAAAACTATTCCAAGTGGTGCCAGTATGGCGCCGCTTAACAAAACAGGAGCGTATGCACAAATTAATTTGCTAATCAACGAGTATGCACACATCTTTTCAACAATCACAGACAAACAACTATAGCACATCAGTAGAAAAATCATAAAGAAATGTATCTCGATTCCAACACAGCAAAAATGCTAACAAGTGCCCAGTCCATCAAATTGAGTGCGGAAGAAAATTATGTTTCTACAGGTGAGAATTGGACCCATTTAAATCCAGATAAAATAATTTACTCAAACACTTAGCTAATAAGTTCCAGTTAAGCCAAAATTTCATATCTTATATTTATCTACACCGTTAGAGAACTTATAATAAAGTGAGACAAACGCCTTCGTAAATTTTGCTTTAATTAATTAAAGAAAATAAAATTAGCGGAAATAGCAAGAAGAAAGGGAAAAACATGGAAAAATTAGAAAAATACTTCTTGGACTAGAGTGAATGTTCGAGAGCAGTCGTGAGCGTCTGGAAAGCTAGGAGGTTAATACTTGTGTCTTCTTCTCGGCCGAGACTGACAGAAGGCGAGGCGGTGACCGGGAATCCGCGAAGACTCGACTTAATGGCAGCAATACTGCATCAGAAACGGGCAGCCCCGAGCCGCCTGTCTAACCGGAGCAGCAGACGGGGAGAGGCGAAGGCTGATGGGACGAACCGGGGGCGTTGGCGTTGCAGAGAAAAGAGAGAGAGGAGGAGGGGAGGGGCGGCATGGGTGCACGCTTAGTCAATTTACTTTTCTGAATTTTTATTTTATGAATATAATTTTTTTTGTTTAATTAAATATCTAATTTTGAATATACGTGTATCAATTAATACTCAGGCTCTTAATTTGAACAATTAGATCTCTAATATTTTCTAATTGTGTTTAATTTAATATTATGGTATTTATAATTATGTTTTATTGAATGTTCACATCAGTTAGTAATATTAATTTAATGTCATGATAATATAATTTATAAATAATACAAAAAACATAAAAGCAATATCTAAAAATATCTTAATAATTAAAATGAAATATAAATTACAGCCCTTTTATTGATTACTACGTATTAATCTCAAGGAAATATGAAGTGTGCGAACAAATGGATATACTTATTATTAGCTTTGTATTATTAACATATATATATATATATATATTAAATACAAATGGGAAATATAGAGCATCTAATAAAAGCTCAGAACAAAATTTTGGGTACTAATTGAATGAAATAAAGAAGATTATGCATCTTTTAATTCAAAATAAAATATTTAAGCACTTAATTGAACAAAATAAAAAACAATTATGCATATGTTCGTTTAAAATTAAGACTCCGAGTACTAAGATAAAAGATTTAAACATCTATAAATACATCTAACTAATGTAAAATAATTAAGAGTATGGCGTAACGAGTATAATAAGCTAATGGGTATATACAAATTTTGTACATTTGACAATCATAATATCTTATTCCTAATACGGTGAGTTTGATTACAGAAAACATTTCAGTCTTGAAGGTATATTGGAACCATTATTATAATAAGAACCCAACTTTGCTATCCCTACCACCCAGGTGCATATATTCGAAAAAGAGGTAAGATTTGATCCCATACGAAAACACAAGCTTCCTACATGTTGACAATGTGCCTCTAGAATCAGAGCAACACTATAAATGTTCGATGTAATCTAACACGAGGAGAAGCTTTGCAACAAGAATTTGAAAAGAACGGGCGCGGCATCACTTTTATCCAGTGAATTGCAAAGCTATCCCTACCCACGTGCAAATATTGGAAAAAGAGGGAAGATTTGATCCCATACGAAAACACGAGCATCCTACATGTTAACATTGTGCCTCTAGAATCAAAGCAACACTACAAATGTTCGACGTAATCTAACAAGAGGAGAAGCTTTGCAACAAGAATTTGAAAAGAACGGGAGTGGCATCACTTTTATCCGATGAATTGCAAAATAAGTAGCATGAAGAGTGGCATGAAGCAAGAAGAATAGAAGTGGGAAGGGGGAATGTAAAATCTAAATATCAAAAGAAAACAATTTGGGCACAAGAGAAAACATTAAGTAATTTGAATTTTTGGGATTATAAATAAAACTAACACTATGCTTGAGTAAATATAAGTAAACTAACAAGAGAAGAAAAGAAAAAGAAATGGTAGTTTGGAAAAAGACAAAAGGAAGCATATATATATATATATTAAGACAACTAAAATCTAGAAGATTACTCGCTTCTTTATCATGAGTTTCACCCACCTTGTTTTTGAATAAGGAATATCCACAACAAAAAATTCAAGTGAAAATAGAAAGTAGAAGGGAAAAAATCTTTTGTACAACATTTACTCACAGACGTGTATCACTAGCATTATAAAGAAATCATAATGAATTTAAGCAGCCTGCTTTCTTTTATTAATGAAAAAAAGTATTAACAGTTTTGGATAACAAAGACAAGGTCAATAAGAAGCTATACAACTTAGAAAGGTATACAAACGTCTATTGCTTACTAAGACAACTAAATTGAGACCATACTCCTCACAGTTACCTAAAGGGAAGGCTTTTCCCTAATTTTCTTACGCGCTAGTTCCAAACACGACCAAGTTACCCAATCATTTGCTAGTTAAACATGCTTTCTGTACCCAAATGTAACAGAACTATAACAGACCACAGCATAAATATCTCCACCACATGATAAAACACTTACCAAGATTCGCAGTCTGGATATACCTTATCTCTGCTTCCTGTCTTCTCTTTGCTCTTATCACCTCCCTGCCTTCTTATATCTTTCCCCTGTAATCCTACTCTACAATTTCTTCATATTACAAAAGAATATCAATTGGACACGTGGAATTCCAAAAATCAAAATAATCTCTAGTTGACAAACGAAAAATTACACTTCTCATCCTCCAAAAAAACTGGAGTTCATGAATTCATATTAATTTTAGAATGAATCAGAAACAGCATATTAAGGACTGACAGATAAACTGTAATTTGCAATCAACTATAACTTCAAAAGCACATCTTAAATACCTAATTTGTACAGTACTCTAATTAAGAGTGCAATACCAATTGAAAAGCCCTGTGATCAGCGTGCTGTCCCACCATTTTATAGTGAAAAAATCCCACTCCCAAAGAAACAAATAGAAAAAATTATCACTTGTCCTGTCCCAAGTCATCTTGAAACCGTTGATATATATCTCGTCTTAGCATTTCTGCATATTCCTGCATGAATAAAAGTATGCATTTTAAGCTGGGGCGAACATCCTCAAGTGCAGCAATATCAGAAACATATCAGACGATTCTATAAAATGACCAGTACATGATATACACAGCACAGACATGCAATATAGCTTGAGAAACTCTGGTAGAGCACAAGAACTTTAAAAATAAAAAATAAAAAAAGTGTTGAGTGCATAAAAAGAACACTTACGCTAGCAAGATCCTCATTGCTGAATAACTCATTCATGAGATCTTCATTAGTACTTCTAGTGCCATGCAACTGAACAGCATTTTCAACAATAGCATGGAAAACATCTCCTGGTGAACTGGCATGTTCAATCATTTGAGCTACTGGCTGAATGTTTATCTAGACAACAGAGAAGATTGGAATAGTTAAATCAGAGTATAAACTATTAATGACAGGATATAATCTTCATCATACATTCAAATTACTCAATCAATAACTTGATTTTTTAACTGATCCATTGTCTCTCGCTCGAGGTGACAACCATTTGGGATAGCCAGAATGGAAGACAAGCAAAGGCTTGCCAGCAAGGCCACAAATCCAGTGGCACATAGGACACATTTACTCTTAAAGACAGTACCAAGAACAAATAACTCCTCTTGGACTGGAAAAATATTTTCCTTCCATCAAATTACAATTTTACCTTAGTTGCCAACTTTGTGAAAAAAGAGGGGGAGCGAGGAGAGAGAGATACAACCACCCTGGAAATGTTCCAAAGTATTTTAGTTCCCTCTCTCCATTCTCCCTCTAGTGCCAACATACATGAGCACATGAAACCCAGCACCTCACACCCAGTACCAGGCAGGTTAGTTGTAAACTAGATTACAAGTTATTTTAAAATTTCTAGGTTAAATTAATTATAAGATGACACAACCAAAAATGAATTACAGAGTATTGCAACAGCAATCACCAATGTTTCTGTACATGTCTTATAGTTGTGACAATGGGGGGTCTAAATACCTGAATATCTTGATCAACAGGCTTGTCAGCCCCGCTTGTTCTCTCATCATTCTGTAGTGGTTCAGGTTCCACAGCAGGAAATGGCTGATGAGATGCAGTAGATCCACCACCAAAAGCACGGGAGACAATAGGCATCATCTGTTGGACCATCCTAGACAAATCAATGCCACCACCTTGTCCGCCTGACCCTGAAAACATATTATCAAGATCCTGGCTGTCGACCTGCTGAGCAATTTGATTGACGGTGTTCATGATCTGAGGACTCTGGGTTAATTGTTGCAGCATATTTCTCAACACATTTGGAGAACCAACACCCGCTTGGCCTGAAATGCCTGCCAGCAAACCATCTAATGCAGGGCCTTGAAGGACCTGAGACATCACATTAGCAGTGTCCCGTCTATTATTAGAATCTTGCCTCCTTCCTGCCCTATTCTCCATCATTCTAGCAGAGGGTAGTTGACTCGAGTGTGAATCGTCTGTCCCTAACGTATTTCCAGCAGAGCTGCTGGCGGCAAGAGATTGCAGAACCTGCCGGCCATTAGTTACAGGGCTACGGTTCTGATCAAACGAGACATTATTTGTATTTATTCCACCACCATTCTTGACCCCTAATTTTGCCTGCTTGCTACATCTCTAATCACAGTAACAAAGAGAAACAAATTTAACCACAATGTAGCAGAAAATATAACAAATAATGAAAACATCACTCAATAACAGAAACACAGCACTCTGTAGCTTAAATCATGCACCCTCAAGCACCTTGACGATTTAACAACATGCAATGTATAGACAATCAGAAGAAGAGTATCTAGATTGTCAAGTAGAACTAAAGAATAATCTGATGAATTGAATAGCACAGGCTGATCTCTTCTATGCCCATGGTAGAATGGTGCTCTTTGGCAATCATTTGGACCAAAAGTACAAGAGCTCATAACTTATCACACAGGTTGTTTGGTTTGCATGAGTGAGTATGACACAGAATTGTTGCCATTTAACATCTACAACCTCTTTGATTCAATTCTTATTTAACTCCTACCTTATTCCTCCGATGAATCATAGCTTTTAACTTTACTCC